CCCTAAAGGCAACAAGGTCAAAGAACTGTAGCTGCAAAACCTCCCCTTTTGCTTACCACCTTCCACTTGATTCTCTCCTTTCTCCACCTAGGAAAAGACTATGGCTACATCGCTGTATTTTAAGCTATAGCTCACAAATTAAAAACTGAAAGAAGAAACACATTTTTCTGTCAATGGCTTAAGGGGATTCCATCTCTAAGCTGCAGTTAAAGCTTTCTTAGTCTTTTTTACATTTGTAGCATTTTGGAGCAATTTGCTAGAGTCAAAGAAAGCAGTGAAATTCCCACAACTGACTTCAAAGCCCCCAAATCCTGTATCAGTGAAGGGGAGTCTGGTAGCAACCCCAGAGGGGACATTATTCAAAGAGAAACGTGTAAGAACGTGCTAGGCATTTTTGCCCAGGCACCCGCAATTGATGTTAATGGCTGACACGTGACCAAATCCCCATGTAGTTCTTTGAAGAAACGCCCCTTCTTTTCTTCTCCCCAATACTGTGAACTGTGACAGCATAGATGATTCAGAAAAGAGCAATGGATGAACCCCTGCTTCAGCCCCACAAGTAGCACTGGCCTTGAATGCACATGAGTCCCCTTTACCTGGTGAAAAGTGTTCAGCAAAGTCTGCAGACAAGAGGGTGGGTTGCCTGGATGGACTGCCATTTGGCAATGAATTCTAGGTGAAAACGGAGAGCAGGGGAGCTTGCAATACTCTAGGTCTCCAGCCCCCTTCCTTCTTTCCTCTCTCCTGCTTTGTAGTCATTTGTCACATTTATTCCCTGGCTGACCTTCCAATTCCTTCCCAAGCCCAGCACTGCCTACTTCTCTTGGACTGCATTTGAGACAATGCTTCCTTCTCACAAGTCTTCTACAAGTCCACACACACACAAGCTGTCTGCTTGTTCTAGATGAATCCCCAACAATAAGTCCATTTTCCAGTATGGAAATAGCACCCTCTGTTTGTCTAATTAAATACTAAAAACTACTTGAAATGTAAAGTTTTAATGGCAAAATTGCCGGAATAAAACGTTCATTGCCAATAGGTCTCAGAAAGAAATCACCTGTGAGGGCTGGGGCCAGGGTGGCAATATGTTTGCTTACATGAGTACCTGAGTTCAATCCCTAAAATGCAGTGCAAATACAAAACAGTAACAACAAAAACAGATGTAGTGGCACACACTTGTAATCTCAGTGCTAAAGAGGAAGAGAAGAGACCAAGCTAACTAGATAAATTAAGTAAATAAATAAAAATAAAGCACCCTTCAGGTGACATTTAATGTTCTGTCCAGGTAAGGAAATTTTATCCACAAAGCACATAAGCAATTAACAGGGTGGGGGGGCTTTTGTAAAAGGAAAAGAGATTTAGAACAATCTCTAGGTTTTAGCAGATTGCAAATATGTCATCTCCAACATTTCACAAACTTCTGAGGGCTATTATCACACATTGGCATGCTTTTTTTGGATAGCCAATTACTTATTCAGGTAGACCTGTGCTTTGCTTGAAAAGTTCTGTGCATGGCCACTGTGGGTGATTGACTCACCATCAGTAGGGGCTATGTCAAATACAAGAACGTATAACATGTGTACTTCACTCTCACACGGTCTCAGCATCCAAGAGGAGAGGAGAAATTCATAGTGCCATCTTCTTACCAGATAGAGCAATAAATGAGTATCTTTAACATAGGTCTGTGTGTGTGTCTGTGTCTTTGCATGTGTGTATGTGTGTGTATGTGTAAGTGTGCATGTGTGTGAGTGTGCATATGTGAATGTGCATGTGTTCATGTGTGTCTGTGTATGTGTGTGTTCATACAAGCAGTTACCCATGTGTCTCTGGCTCTTGGTAGAGAATCAATGAGCCTGACAGCATGTGGTCAAACATTTTGGTTAATTCAAGAGAGCACCATTCTCCTTGGATTTGCTTGTATAGCAACACACACCACATACTAAGTGCCTAATGGAATGATGACAAACAATACACATACACACACACACACACACACACACACACACACACCATTTATGTCTGCAAAAGTCTGTGCAAAAAATTGGAGAATACATCTATGTTTGTAATTTTATCACTGAAGAAGCGTTTTCTTTTTTGAACAGATTATTATTTAAAGACATCCCAGTGTAAAACACTCACCATTCTACCAGTTCAAATCCTCTATCTCCAATTCACTGCCAAATTTGTGAGATGCTAGGGATGCTAGGCACATAGTTGATTGCATAGCCCTCCTTGGCTTCTAGGTCAATTACACCCCCTCACCCTTTTTTATTTTTCCTTTCTTATTTTTTTTAAAAGAAAAGTTGTGACATGTGATCCTAAAAGCCAGTTAGGGGAATGGGACCCACTTACATCCTGGAGCTATGCTGTTTAAATTGGAGGCTCCCAGGCTTTCCCTGTGGGACCTTATCTGACTGCATTGGCCTTGCTCATCATGAATAGAGTTGATATTTGTAAAGGACCGAGGAGGCCAGATGGAGTGGGAAACACAAAGCAATTGTTCTGCCCTTCTCATCTGAAACTGGACCTGAGAGATGCTGACTTGTCAGAAGGACAAGAATGCAGGAGAATTGCCAGGGGCTTCTTGGCTCTCTGTGTTTTCTATAGATGCCAGTGCCCCCTGCATTCTTCTCTGGGACTCCTCATTCCTCCTTCCATACTGGAATGTCTTGGAATTGTTTAAAATAAAAACAGTGGTGCCTGAGCTCACCCACCCTTGGAGGTTCTGGTTTAATTGATGTGTGAGGTAGGACATCAAAGTTTCCAAAGCCCCATTCCCTTCTAGAAATATGCAAGACTGACCTGCTTGTGCCCAGCCCCTCTCGCCCTGTCTTCAAAGCAGGTGCACATGAGTACTGGGTACTAATTTTAAACTCTCATATTGGGACAAGACTACTCTGCTAATCTCATTTAGTCCTTGTCTTAAAATATCTGACTAAGCAAGAAGCTGGTCCTATGGACTCTCTCCTAGCTGCTGCTCATCCAATGTTAGAAGAGCCAATCAGTTCTCTTTTGAGTTGGGGTACCTAGAATGTCCAGTTAAGCTCTGACAGAGCCTTAAGAGCAAAGGACATAATTGGGGTGGGGCTTGGGGGTGAAAGTGGAATCCATGTGTACCCCTAAGGCATGTGCATTAAAAAGAGTGCCAGAGAGAATGAACCTTCACCCCCAGTTCTCACTGAAGCTATCTTATATTCATATTGCAAGAGATACTTCCATACTTTTAATAAAGGAATCCCAAACTGAAGGCAGCTTTCACAGCCACAGACTCTCTGGCCAGAACCATAGGAAATTATGTATTCCACGCAGAAGCTTGGAGTCCCTTGGATAGCTCCTCCAGTCACAAAAGGCTAAGCCAAGTTAAACAAGGCCTCTGGGTGTGCTAAACAAGCAGAAGATCCCAAGCTGAACTCCTGAAGTCTCCTGGGAGCCCAGAAAGGCAGGGGCAACTCCTGGAACTCATTATTGTATAGCCCTATAGGATTTACCCCCACCTTCTAGTTTTCTCTCCTAAAGTATACATTGCAGACAGAATCATATACAATTGTTCTGGGCTGATGAGTAAAATGAACATGCAGTATGCAAATGAGCCACTGAGGACAAGGTTTTCACCAGGGAAAATTAATAAAAAGGCTTTTTGGTGCTAAATGAAAGAAATGTCAGGACTTCAATACTTTAGGCAATCATCATTTTTTTTTTTTTTTTCAAAATTGCCTGGCGCCTGGCACAATGCTAGTTACAGGAAATGGTTGTTTAAATACCAGGGTCCATGTTCACACAAGTTTGGAAAATACTGCATACCATCTGTGTTAGTATAATATGTATACAGGGCATACATATTAGCATATAAAAGCTCTGAGATTGATGACAGCAATATTAAATGTTTAACACACCATTTTCCTAAGTTATTTCAGCAGAGAGCTCCCCAAAGCACTGTGATTTTATTTTATTTTAAATTTTTGGGGGTGATGGGATTTTTAATAAAGGAATAGCCATAAGCTATTATTCTATACCAACCTCGAGTTTTCTGGCTTTGAAAACATTTATTTTTAAAGCAGAGGGCTGGGGGTTGGGGAAGTTCAATACTGTAATCACGAAGTTATTCTAATGTAAACTGAGGCTTGTTAAGTGTCAAGGTCAGAATTTCATCCCATGTAACATTGTCCATGGCTGAACATGGTGGGGGTGTTTACCCAGTGCAGGTGTTTTACATACATTAACATATTTAATCCAAGTGCTTTACATATATTACCATATTTAATCCTTTATGCTCCCCTTTGAGGGACAGTTCCCATCCTCAAGATGTTGAAATTGTATTCTTTTTAGTACCAGTGCTGATTTTGTTGACAACTGTCATTCAACAGGGCTTTTGTTGGAGTGATTCTCCTCCACCAACTGATGTATCTTCAGTGCTCAGCAACTTCCTGAGTGAGTTCACACATTGTAGAGTTTTAAGGAGATGTGTCATCAATTACTTTTTAAACTATGCTGGAATGACAAACATTATCTTTTGAGTGGGAAAGCCTTTACTGTTGCCCACCAAAATCATTTGTTTGGAGATCAACAAGGGTCCTCAGGAGTCAAGACCTTGAGAAGCCATGGCTCTGGACCTACACGACAGATACTAACCACATGATGTGCCTTTTCATCCAAGCCACACACAACCCTGCTCAGGAAAAGAGGCCAAGGAGAGGGCACTTGGGCTCTTCCAGTACAAGCTGAGGCTAAAAAAGCTGAAGAGTGTGACCTAGGAAGGGTGGGGCAGACTGACGGGAGGAAGTGGCATGGTAGGTACTTAAGCAGGACTGTACTAAATGGTCACATGGCATCTAAATTGATCTGTGCTCAGTATCCCCACTTTTTTCTAGTGGATTTAAGTATATGCCTGTGTACTTGGTTCACGGATTGAAGATGGCATAGGTTCTGGCTCCTGGGAGGTGCTTGTTCCCCAGGAGCTTTCTCATCACATCCTTCAAGTCTGTAAATGGTTGGGCATGATGTCTGAGTGCACAGATATTTATTCTAACTCCAACATACAGGTATGGCCTCCATGTGGCCATAGCAAACGTTAAATATCAATTGTTCTTGAAGTATGCATTTTAAAAATTGCCATGATCTCTGTAGCTAAAGCAATTCAAAGTGAAATGTCTTAGTTAAATCATACAGTGTCTGCTTAAGAAGATCATGTTCTAGATCAGGATGGTCCATCTCCATGCATGCCAGGGTACTCATTGAGGACCCCTGCTGTACATTTTCCTCTTCTGTGAAAGGCCGAGCTCCAGGCAACCCCTGCTCAGGTGCTTCAGGATCCGAGATGCTTGTCCCATGCACTGACATCCTGGGTGCAAGTCTGTCCAAGGTACCTTTGTAAAAAATAGTTTCCAATTTCAGAAAATAAAACCTTGCTTGTGTGCACGCAACAAGGAGCGAGTAAGCAGAATGTCTTCTCTGAAAACAAGAAAAGATGAGTGAATAAAATCATCCGGCGTTAATGTCAAATGATTGTTTCCCCTAACAAACAGAAGTCGCATCCCGTCATTCAGCATTGTACTGTTAGCCTCTAATGTGTTGTGTTCAGTGTTCTGGTCATTTATAGAATTATTGATCTGTACTTTATTTTATTGCAATGTTTTGGGGTATATTTGGTGAGGTTTGCGCTGCACTGAGATTTTCTTGGTATTAATAAGCCCTAAGATTAAATACCCAGGACATGAGTGGAACACCATTTACATCAATTCATTTTCCACTCTCACACTGGCTTCATTTTTCAAATGTACAGATGTTATTGTACATTGCCTCATTTCTAGATAGAATCCTATGCCCCTATTTATCTCTCCTATTAGCAGCTTCATAATTAAATCCAGAAACACAGGCAAGGCAGTATGTAATGAGAAAACTCAAGTAAATAACACTTGTCTTCAACTTGACAAATCAGACAGAGAGTTGAATACACAAAACCTTTCAAAACAGCTGCCTCTACAGGTATAAACACAGTGGTCCCCCAAAACAGTTAAATATCTAATTTTGGTTTGAAGTTAATCACAGCTTTTTTCCCCTTTAAAAAATTAATTAAAAACACTAGATCGAATAAATATTTCAGGAGACCAGCAGTAAAATGGGGGAAATCCCATGTGTTTGGAGTTTTAGTGCTCTCTGAGTACAGAAATTTATTTGCAGGAAGCAGAAAATAGACAGCAAGCATAAAAACACAGCCGAGTCCCCCTAGTGAAATTATTTATCAAGCTAACAAGGGAGGGACCCTTCTACTCACAACAAGCCAGTGAGGAAAAGACACGGCTTTATATTTTACCTTTGGGTTAGTAGACCAGTAAAAATGCCAGCTGACAAGCACTTCACATAAACATCTCTTTCTAAATGAGCTTCCTTGTTAGGGAGAAAGGGGAAAACACGGCTTCCAAGCTAAGGCATGCTATAGCTTCTGGACAGAAAATTCTAGCTACATACTCTGACTCTTTGATACACAAGTACCATAATTGAAAAGAAATACAATAAAGTAATACAAATGGCAAGTGGCATTTGGATCACCAATTATATTATCACTAATTTCAATATTTTTATGCCCTCGTCATGATAGCCTCATGGGTGAATGTATAGAAGCAGCATGGGTCCATAAGGGACTTTTTGAGAACCACCTTTAACAGGCTCTGAAACAGACCATACACACGTATATTCATGCACGCATATTTATGTATCTGCATGCACGAATCTGACATTGGGTCCACTGTACAAGCCTCCTTGCTATACATTAGTTTTCAAATGTTTATTTCATGAGCAAAACCCCAAAGTCTTTTGCACAGTTTAACTTAACGATACCAAACTTTGATTATCAACTACAAGAATCTCTGTTGTAGCTTGCAGCAGAAAAGTATGGGTGGGAATAAAAAGAAAGAAGAGGTGAGGAGAGGAGCCCCCGGAAGTACACTGTGACCTGATCCCAGTTATATCTTAAAGAAATAGTAAAAGTTGCCTTCCCAGAATCATTGTATAGTCAACCACTCCTCAGGGAACGCCTGATGAATTGACAGGGACCTCTCACTGCCTCTTCTCTTTCCAAAAGTGAGATCGTCACCCATTATCTGTGGGAATGGTGGCAAGATGCCCTTTTTTGTTTTATTGCGGAAGAAAATGGTCCTGGTGAAGATAGGTCTGAGACTATAAAATGCTGAGCAGAGGGGCTGGAGAGATGGCTCAGTGTTTATGGGCATACACTGCTCTTCCAGGGGACCTGAGTTGGGTTCCCGTCCAAGTCAGGCAGCTCCTGACCACCTGTAACTCTAGTTCCAGTGGATCTGACTGACTGCACATTCTGCCCTCCTCAGGCACCTGCACTCCCATGTACAAATCCACGCACATACACATACATAGAACTAAAAATGTGAGGTAAAGCTTGACAAACTAAATAAAGGGTTAAGCAGTGATAGGCATAACCACCTTGCAGGAGTGACACCACGGCCCTGCCTCCTCACCAATGCTTCAGCAGGATGGTGGCAGTTGTCTTAAATAAATCTATGACTCACGGGAAATAGGAAGGAATAACTCAAACAGGCTTTTCGTTATTTGCCCCCTCTCTGCAAATGGCATTGCAGGATACCTCTATGAAACCTCCTCCTCTTGGGCAAGAGGCGATGTGTGCTCTTCTTCTAGGGCTAAGGCTGAAACTCCCCAGCTCAAATCCTACAAACCTGCCTTGGAAGCTGCATGTATTCTTTTCCCACAGATCTGAAGGGACAGTCTGGGACTAGGCCATGCTCCATTCCTGAGTGCTGTCTTTTCTGCTATCTAACTAGGGTCTTATAAGATGTGAGCAAGCAAAGATGAGGACTAAAGGAAAAAATATGTCGGTGCTTCAAATAGCTGTCCTTGAAGACCAAAATATTTGGAAAACATGACCCCTTTATCAATACCTTTGTAACACACAGCTCAGCTGGGTCTGGCTTTGAAAGCATCAGGAGAGCATTCTGGTGTCTTTTGACTGCACCAGTAGGGCAGTGAGCAGGCAGAGAGGCGGGAGTCTGGGTAAAAGAACAAGACACTGCAAAGCAAGGGATCTCCATGGAGAAGCTTCCTGGTGACATCTGGAGAGAAGGGCAGCTGGGAGTCCTCAGACTCAGGCAGTGGAGTGCACTCAGATCCTCCTCCACACACAGCAACCCAATTTCCCTCCTCTCCCCTGTCACTGTCACTCCCAGAGTGCAAACTCAGCTTCAGTCTCAAAATGCACAAGAGAACACTGGTGGCAGCCCATGCGATTCGAGTTTATATTCTACTAGGTAACGGCAAGAAACTGTTAGAGATTGAAAGGGAGAAAATTCAGGAGGACGAGGCAGAGGAGCAGGCAGGAGGAGGAGAATGAGACATTAACAAATTAGAAATAACTAAACAGCCTTTGAGCATGGGACGGAACCTGAGCTACTTACAGGAACACAGAACAAGAAAGCAGCTCTTAGCTCACAAAGGCCAGCACTGGTACAGAAATTTCTGGTGTCTCTGATACCTTCCATGAGTAGAAAAGAGGTCTGAGCTTGTTGCCAGCAGCCACTTTCTCTCCTTTAATGCAGCATGAGAGTTCAACATTGTGAAACCTATAGTTTATGCCTTGAGACTTTTATTTTTAAAGCAGCCTATGTTTTCCATTGTAGGGTGTGGGAAGGAGTGAGGGAGGGAGAGGGAGAGGAAGAGGAGAAGAGTGGAAGGGGAAATGAGAGGGGAGGGAGTAGGAGACACAAGAGAAACAGGAGGCACAGAAATAACAAAGGTAAACAGAAAATTCTATTATTCTATTCTGTTCTATTCTATTCTATTCTATCCTATTCTAATGTTCAGGACAGTTGGTGATCTCACAGCAGTTTTGGTCCCATCTTTTCGTGTGCATCAGGCAGGAACTTCATTTTAAAATATAAACAAGCCAGAGGCACACCACAGCACTATAGACACCAGCCCTTTAATTAACTACCATAGTAACAAAAGGTCTCTATTTTGATTAAGGGTACAGAGGGAGAGTCAACCCCAGTGCCTAAGAATTCCTTTGAATAATTACAGCCCCCCAACTCAATTCTGCTGCTGGGAGTAGGCAGGAGCCAAGGAAGAAAAGAAACTTTGTGTGTGGAACCCAATTTAAGGGAAGATGACCTCAGGGTCAATTTCTCGGAGCATTTGCGATCAATTCAATTCTCACCTCTACTGCCTACCTGCCAGCAAATGAACTTACTGTGCTTTTCAATAGACAGGAAAGACAAAGCAGAAATCTTCAGTGGCTGCATGTGAATAACCACATTAGATGATGCTTGCGGGGCAGAAAGAGGAAAACAAAATCCTACCAGCAAGATCTCCCTTCCTTTATCTTTCTTCTCTCTCTTGATCCCTGATGATTCCGTCATAGAATGCATCCTTGCACCATTAATGAGGTCTTAATATCTGCCAGGGCTTACACCTGCTGCCACTGTAAGACTCAATTGACAATATCTGTAAATCCCACCACAGGTTTGATTTTTCCACAGAGCCCTGAAACCATGCTCCTCTCTCCCCATATTACTTCTATCCAAAAAGACATGGTGCTAATTAATAGCTTTCCTTTATTCCCAGTAGATGCCTAGAAAGAGTGGCACACTAACTCTGTTGGCTTCTCCTTGTCCTGGTGTTTTCCAAATATTTTAAATGGAAACTAAAAACAAATAAGCAATACTCCCTGACCCCTGTGCTTAGCTCATCTATTGCTGATAATTTCGTTATGTGCCATGAAAAGAAAAAGAAGTGCCTACACAAATCTTGATAGTCCTTTTTGGGGTTAGGAAACGACAGAGTCTTCTAGCGAGGGAAGAGGAGAGAAGAGGAGAGGAGAGGAGAGGAGAGGAGAGGAGAGGAGAGGAGAGGAGAGGAGGGGGAGAAGAGGGGGAGGTTAAATGTTAGTGTGGAAGCCCAACTGTAAGCCTGAGCTTTTGACAGGTGATTGAACACTTGCCTTTATAATGAAACTCCCTTATAAAAGAATCCTTTTGTTGTTGTTGTAAGTCACAAGGGCTACAGGCCTTGTAAGACTTCTTCATCTCATGTCTGCCAACTAAATGCAAAATATTTCTTTTTTTAAGTGCACCACTTCAATAGTATCTCAAGGTTAGGGGAAATGCTAGACATTTAGATGATGTGATTAGACTAGTAGCCCACTGTCAGAAATTGATTAAATTGGTTTGCTGGTTGGGGAGGAGCTTAATCTAAATAAACAAACAGCAAACAGTGCTAACAGAAAACAATTAGGGTAAGTCAGGATTACAAAACACTTTAAACAAAATCTTTTCCATAATTGTCTGAGTGCCAAAGGATATAAAAATTCAATAAGCTTGAAATATACTCATGGGGGTTTTACCAGAATGGTCCCCACCACAAATGCTCAAGTAAGACAGAGTATCTTCTTTCTTAGAGGATTTCTTCTAAAGACTTATTTTCTAGATGTCCTCAATCCATCTTTATTGGGGGACAGGGTCAAGACCTAACATTTACTCTTTCCAGAGGGGCCTATCAGAGCTTGCAGTTTTTTTTTTGGGGGGGGTTCCTTGTGTCATATTTCTGACCAAATTTCTCATAGGTACTGTGAGGGACACATTGGGTGTGGTGTCTTTATGTCATAACTAAACAGTGCACATATTGTGCTGAGCACCCATGTTCACAGGGGGAATATGAATTTGTTTATATTTTCTTTCCTGAGGATTATAGGCAACACTGAGAGACAGGTAGCCAGGGGCAAAACTTTGTCTTGGCCATGTGGCTTTTTGTTAGCCTGTTCTTAAACCAAGGGGTGTCCTTCCTTACATTTGATTATTTTCTGAAATCATTCCATGGGCCAGAGAAAATCCTGCCCATGCTGTGAAGACTGGGGGCCAGGGGATGGAATATGAAAAAAAGGCATGTTTCTGCAAATTTCATCTCCTGTAGGTGACAGGACAGTCACCACTGGCTTCTCCTTTATGGGTGTGTCTTGTCCGGCATGCCCAAGGCAGCTCTATAATACTTGATTGTGTCCGGATAAGTCTAAACCAATACCAGGGACATCTGAGATGGTCAGAATGGACACATGATCTGGCTGTGACCCATTGCCATCATCCGAGTCCTGTGTCAGTACCTTAAGAAACAGGAACAGGAAGGGTTGCTTTCTAATTTGATGTGAATTACAGATAGTTAGATCACACCTCAGTACACTTCAACCCAGGAGACCACTTCAAAGGTTAGTTCAAAAGCCACCTTGAGCCATAGGGTCAGGCAATAGCATCACTTGTTTCCATGGCAACAGTCACACCTTAGCCAGTGAGGCTATGGGACAAGTCAGTCAAGAAGCAAGACTGGGTAGAAGGCAGACAAGCCATGCATAGGTGTTTAGACTTCCATGTTAGGAGAACTTTCTTGAGAAGGAAGATCTATATGCATTTTGACTGATTAGCAGATTTGGGTCTGTGACACATAATAGAAAATGTTAGTCAAAATCAAGGAATTTGACTGAAGCAGAGAATTTAATCTTTTTGTAATATCAGCTAGATGAATATTTTAAAATAGTGTGTGTCAGTCTGCCCATTTGTCTGTCTGCATCTGTTAGGTGCCCCTGGAGGCCAGAGGAAGTGTCAGACATCTTGGAGTTGAAGTTAAGGGTGGCTGGGTAACACCCAATACAGATGTTAGGATCTGAACAGAGAGGGTACTTCCAAGAGCAGTGTAAGCCCTTAAGAGTAGAGCCATATCGCTAGTCCTTGGATAAACATTTTGTAATATGATCATGAACCATCATATAATCCAGACTGTATTTCTGGCAATAAATAAAAAAGCAACTAGACAGCTTCCTTCAAACTTACGGTTCCATTTTCAAAACCTACCTTAACATTAAAGAGCCACACATGAGCTACTAAGCTGTGCCAGGCTGAAATTAACAAGAGGCAGCAAGCCTATTGATTCACCACATTCGCACTTCCCTGAGTGAAATCCCTTAGCCAAAGTGACTTTCCAAAAATAAGCTAAGCAACTCTCCCCAGAGCACCAGGCACTGAGCTTTCCATATAACAGTGTATAATGCCTAATGCCATAAGGAACTTGGAGGCATTGTCCTCCTCCTCTAATTCTCCCTTGCTCTTGCCTGCCAATCATGTTCACAGCTGAAATTTGATTTCTCTCCCACCGGTAGCCTTATATGAAATATTACCAGTGGAGTTAGGACCAGTGTGAAACTCACTTTTAATGTTCATTAACTTTTTGCTCAAAATGGATGATTTCAATGTCACAAAACCTGCCAGTAGGCCTAGATCAGTGTATTTAACAGGTAGTTTTCAAATTACAATTAGAAAGACCTGCACAAGAAAGGAGTAAGTACTGCAAATGCCTGCATGTACGGACATAGAAGTCACACCAAAGGAATACACTAAGTTCTACTCTAGATAGAGACATTTCTTAAAAAAGAAAGAAAGAACCTGTTAATTTGTATAAGGTTAGCACAGAAACTGTATTGCATATTCACGGTGCAGTTATTAAAAATGAGACTTTCTTCACCACAGCAAAAAAATATATGTAAATAACCAGACACTATTTTTAAATAGATGGGGGAAAGTGAGCCAAGCTCTGTTTGTTTGTTTGTTTGTTTGTTTGTTTGTTTGTTTGTTTTCCCAGTAGTCTCATTCACCAGCTCCCTCGAGAGCCTTCTTTTCAAAGAAGCACAATTTGACAGTGTGATTTTACCCCCTTCAGTTTTGCTAAAAACCAGAAGGGAGAAAAAAAAAAGTGCAAGTAGTTCATGCAAATATTCAGCAAGCAAACTTTTTAAAAATAAAAAAGAAATCATCATACTTAGTTTCACTAGCTTATGAGAGGTAGAAAGAACACATGAAACCATGACACTGTGCAAGGATTGGCGAGAGCGTGTCGCTCTGGCTCCCCAAATGGAGAGGGCTCATAATTAAATTTGTGCTGGGATACTTGGAGTTGAAAACACATTCAAACAGCTTCATTTTATTTTCTCTAATAGATGAAAATCAGATTGTGGCCTTCCACATGTCTCCTTTCTTCCTCCTTTTGCCTCTGATTGCTGTGGAAGGTGTCTCCATCGACACATGTGGATTCAGAAGGACAACACTCTGCATTGAAATTATGCTACAGTCTGCAAATGTGAGTACAGATATGATAAGCTATTGCAAATTTGGAATGTTCACAAATCAAGATGATGGGTGTCAATTTTGCTCAAGTTCATCCAATGGTCTGACTCTCAAGGAGAAGGGCTGCCTTCTCTAGTGTGGGTAAAGGTTTGTGGTACCATGATGAAGAGTTGAGATCTATTCAGATCGGATTAGTTATTCTGTATGAGACAGATAGTAATGTGAAGAAACCAATACAGGACAGCAACACAGGCTGATTCTCACCCAGACAGATGTGTCATTCTTGCAGGGCCAAGTATCACCATTTATGTTACCTGTGCGACACTAATACTAAAATGATAGAAAACAGGAACTCCTCATGTTCGAGGAGGGCAGGTTGCTTGCTGCAGCATCACTCACTAACATTCCCTCCCTCACATAGCAAATCCATTCAAATAAGCGCATGCATATGGAAGATCCACGCGTACCTGTTTGACTCCCGAAAACTGCTTTGCTCACATCACAGATGTAGAAGAGTCCCTTGGGTACCTGATTCAGTAAATATATTAAAATAAACAAAGGGTGATTAATATCCAGGAAAAGCTTTTGAAGGACAGTATTTCAAGGTAGTTTAACTATCTATGACAAGGCAGAAATGGCTAAGGGGAGAACAATTTGCTCTAGTTCATCTTGCATGGTGGTCTCAGTCCTACAAAACTAGAACAGGGGTCTGAATGGAAGGAAACAGTTCACAGTGATGGAAGCCTCCTCTTAGTTATGGTCCTCAAAAGTGGGATGCCACTGGCTTAGCATCCTGTATCAGCCACTGGCTTAGCATCCTTTTTCAAATTTGAAATTGTCCTCAATTCACAGAGAACCAAACAATCCTGGGATCACAGAAAGGAGATCTGAACAATTTCTGGGGGCTCTTCTGTGTCTTCCATTTCAAGGTCCTCAGAGAAACCATTGGTCTAGTTCTTTAGGCACCTACTAGGTACCCTTTTCTCTAGCCGCCACCCTCTCCTCCATCTCTGTGCTCTGTTTTACTAACACTCCAGACAACCACTACAAGTGTTCTCTTAACAAATAGTAGCATTTAGATATCATCTCTTTGTTTATCAATATTTTCTGTTTAAATTAGTAGCCAAGAGTACACAGAATCATGAAATGAAAATGAAGTTGCTTTTTTTAAAAAAGAACTTTTTGCTTTGTGTTTTACAGTGTGCTTTGTGTATTACAGAATAATGTGAATAATGGCACAATAATTCAAAATGCTTACCTTTCCAAAAAACCCCACAAACAAACAGACAAAAACAAAACCACTTATTTCTATTAGCTATACTAATGTAGGTGGCAAAATAGCATTTATTTGCTGTACAAAGCCTAATATTTTCTAGACAGCAACTTAATAAAAAAACAGACTTGTCATTTCCTCCCACAGATAGTCACACTGTACCAGTCTATGCTGTCAAAATATATTTAAAATCTAATTTAAAAGATTCAGCATGGTTTGGGGAAATCTGTGTACAGTAACTGCAATAGACTAGTAAGTCACTTTATTTCCCAACCCCCCTCCACACACACAAGGATAATTTCATTATTTCCCTCTAATCTGCCACACTTAGGTTTGAAGGGCTTTACAATTGGTTCGAACAAATAAACAAAATGCTCATTCACATGCTCGATCCCACAGGCTGTGTTGCTGAACACATAATCGTCACTTAAATTGTCACTCAGCTTCTCAACTCCCATTCTTCTGAATGTTCTTTATCTAAAGTGTAAGACTGCTCAGATAAACAAATCCTGGCCCTTGGACCAGCCACGATCATCGGATATTAACCACGTGTTTCCATTGAAATGCTTTAAAAACTGTAAGATCCACTTGCCTAGTATTCACATACTCCTCTTCTCCTAAATATATAATTGGCAAGAAAGAGGGAGTAAAAAAGACAGAAGAAATGCACTGAAATTGTTTCAAAACCCTAAAGTGTGCCTTTAAGATAAACCGTTCCTTACTGGACATTTAGATAATTAATCTCAAAACAAAAGAAAATAATAAAAATCAAAATTTCCCACTTAGGATAACTTTCTCTTCTTAAAAAAGAAAAAAAAAAAAGTCTTTAGGAACAATAGATTCTCATAGAAATGCAAGTGAATGGAAGGGTATTGAAGCCTGGGAGATAGTGGAAGGAATATTGGAGTCAACATTTTGGAGAATATACCAAACATGTTAAGATTTGACAAGGAGGATTTACATGAGCTCAGATACTAGCAGGGCATTATACAATTTTAGAAAAATATTACAAAGCAATAATTGGATGTGGGCTTTGCAAAATCGCCCCCCCCCCCCGCATGCTCTGTCCTTCCTGGCCCTGTCATTGATAGTATCTGTTATTTTTGGAGGAAAAGCATCAGCTTCATTAAATGCAATATTTGGCATCTTGCCTGAAATCTCATAAAGTAGCTGTCCTTTTAAGATGGTTGGTGTCATTTTCCTCAAGATGACCTCTACGCTGTGGCTACCTGGTGAACCTATCTGATTATCTAGGCACTTACTTTTCAAAGCCTGTGGCAGGAGGGCCCTGGTGTTGTACACCTGAACCAAGTCTAAAAGCCAGTGCATTATTTTGGTGTTGTTCATTGTTGCTGTTCTGCCCACTTTTACCTAGACCAGTCACTGGGAAGGGATGAGGGTCAGGGGATCTCTCTGATACAAGTGAGAGAAGAGAGTTTAGAGCTCGACCATGACCATGTAATTGAGACCATCACTGACAGCATAGAGTCTCTTACCCTAACTACTAAAGAGGTTGTTGTTCTAACAGCTTGAAAGTGAACACAAATATTCAAGTTAATATTCCAAATGGGCTCAATACCCTCACACCATAATGAGTACATCAGAAAATGGGGAGCACACCCTGAAACTATGTCACAGGTGGTCTCCTGTGCCTCACAATGGCCCTAGTCAGACAGGGGGAGTTTTTTTTTTTTTTTTTAAGACAAGCTGAAGCAAGCCTAGTTCTTGTGTTCGTGCAGAGCCAAATGGACAGAAGAACTCTACCCTGTGGCCATTTGAATTTCATAAAGTAGAAACTGTGCAGATTTATCTTTAAACAGTTTTGTACTTCACTGAGTTACATCAAATGAGCCAAATATATAAATAAATGGCAGAAAGCAGAATATTTTGAATTTGTTGTCTAAAACCAGAATTACACAAATAGGGGTTTAAAAAACAGATTTGGTATGGTATAGTTATCACTGGACCCTTTTTCTTCTTCTTTTTCTCTGTCAAAAAGGATCTTGAAAATAATGTAACAGCATTAAAACTGCCCGTGATGCGTAATCATTGTTCGGGTTTCCAAATATTCACCTTCACAGCTAAGACCATCACTGAGAGACCAAGAGTTAAAATATAGAATATTTGTTCATTAAGACATAGGGGCTGCCTAGCTTCACTCCACCCGAAGGACAACATGAGAAAAAGGCTACCTGGGCTGAGACCATTCCATAGTGTTTCCTTATAAAGTCTGTCCTATGGAGACAGCTTCTAGGTGCTAGAAGTTTGTCTTGGAATTGTGTGCAATCCTTTAAAGCAGCATAACTGTTGGAAAAGCTCTCGGAAAGCTTGTTCAGATGGCTTTACTCTGTAAAGGGGTGCCCAGCTAGAGACCACAGAAAGCCCAAAGCAGAAAGAGAGACTTTAAACATGCTACCTGGAGTCCTCTGTCCCCCCACTTTTCCTCTGTCTAATCAAAGTGGGGGAAGGAAAACAAAATCTGGAAAATTAATAAAGTAAAACACACAGATGCTGTAGAGCTCTGGAAATGTTCATGTTGTTTACAGAATGTATATGGCACTGAGAAGTAGAGTAGGATGCTTTCTCCCACCCAGGTCCAGCAGCACAGCTTCTCTGGTGGTTCTGACAGCCCAGAAGGTCTGCTCCACCCAGAGTCATCTTCTGAACAACTTCAGCCAGATCCCAATGCACAGCAGAGTTCCCTGCAGGGGTGCTGTCACTAGGCCTAGTACAGGACCCAGGGACAAGCTGGCTGGGGCTGCCACCATTGCTCCTAGCACCAAGTTGCCTTTTGGGCATCTCAGAGGTGATACTGGTGTCTGGTCCCCAAACATGCACCAGCTTCGAGTAGACCTATAGCTATAGGCAAGGCACTGAGGGACTTGCTGATGGCCTAAGGAAGACACTGGTCACAGGCAGCCATCCTGGCTCCCCCGACAGCCTCTTGGTTCCAGGAGGTTCCCATCTGCTGTTCACCAGTCAGGAGTCCCACAAGGTGTCTAGCAAGCACACTGACCCCTCAGCTCTGGCTGGGAATCGGGGCCACATATGTAGGCAGAGGCAGATGTGTGTTCTTTGTGGTGTGGTGAGAAGTGTGTGGATGCTGGGAAGGGAGCCTTCTGCCTGGCTGCCTTTCTCTTTAGACAAGAGGCAACCAACACCCTTCACATAGCCAGACTCCTGTCCTCTCTGCCTTTGTCTGCCCATATACTGCACACGGGGTGACTTATGGTGGCCGTAACTGCTTCCTGGTTTGAAGACCATGCCCCTCCAGGGGGCTCTCTCATGGTCTTTCGTGATTGACATGACAAGCAAGGGTACTGACAATTAAGAGATGAGCACTGAATGGTGTTAAGGGCCTCACTGCTTTTAGCAAACTGTGGGGGACCTAGGGGCCTGCCAGACTCTTATCAGTGTTTCCTGCAAACAGATATTTCTTGGGGGAGAGTCCCTAAGTGTGACCCGAGATGACCCTAAGCAATTGGAGGCCATAGGTCAAGGTTGGCTTTAGTCAGTAATCCCTTCCCTAGCCTTGGTTAAAATGGCCTATTGTCTCACGGACATCAGGTTTCTTCTGCTAAAGTTCCCACGGGAAGTCCAAAACCCACTTCTAGAGGCTTCCAGAAGTAGACGCTGCCACATAGAACCTGGGAAAATATTGTCTGCAAAACGGGCATGTGTAACTTTGTCCTGATTTGCAGGCCATTAACTGTTCTTGATATGACATTTTTCTCCCTCCTCCCTGCCTAGTTCTGCAAGGTGTGGTAGATTAGCTTTTCTAAACCAACCGAGGAATATCTTCTTCTGAGAGCTCAGTTTGGAAGCAGGCAAGATTGGGAATGAGAAAGGACTAAACTGAGAAATCTAGGAAAGAAAACAGCCAAGCCAGGCTTGAAGCAAGGGTGGGTGAGAACTGAATGCCATGGACCATTTCCTTCCACCCTCTGCTTTGTGTCCCAAAGCAGGGAGACACCCCAGAGTTCCCCTTCTTGAATTTATGCCCCTTTCTAAAGGCAGCTAAAAACTCAGGAAGGATTTGTGCAGAGGGAAAGAATGTGATGTTGTAATCTAAAGTCTACTAGGGGGGCATTTGTGATTTAACAAAAAGGAAAAAGGAAAAAAAAAATCCAGAACATTGAGTTGTGCAGGAGGAGGCACTGAGCAGATGCCCCTCTGATTTCAGGGAGGAACTCCACATTCCTATCACAGCCTCCCTGTGGAAAATGTGTTTGGGGAGTTTCTTAAACCCGTCCAA